ATACTTAGGTGTTCACCAGGGTGGGGCAACCCACGTAGCTGGGTTGTGACACTGTATTTAGGGGCAGGGTCTGAGAAGGAGCAATGGCGCTTGACCTGCTCTCTCTTGAATTTTGTTTTTCTCCGTTGCTTCCCACAAGCAAATTGAGCACCTCTGGTGCTGGTTCCTGGGTGTGTGGCTTTGTGCACATTCTAGGACCCTGTGAGTGTCCCCAGTGAATTCTCCCGTGAGACTGGGAGCCTCTCCCAGCACCTCAACCCCCGAAAGTTTTTCCAGTTGGTGCTTTTAGGCTTTAATTATCGTCACTGGGGCCCTGAGTTGTGTGGTCTGTCTCACTGCTCATTTTCTTGCCTGGTTTATCTGCATGTGAATGTGTGACTGCGGTCTGCCAGCCTCCTAGCACCCTCACTGTGTCTGCCTGTTGCCACCCCAGGCCTGGGATCTGCCAACCACCATCTGCGCACCTGGGTCCATCTGGCCTCTTTTTTGCTGTGACCCCTCTCCACCAGCCACCGACTCTGTCCCTCTTACCTGTCTGGATGAATGTTTCGCTGTCGTTGGACTTCGGTACAGTTCCATTTTCTGTGTGTTTTGGTTGCGTTTTTGTTTCTAAATCTTTGTTGTCCTTAAACTTGGTTGCGCAAGGGGGTACAGTATTTCCACCTACACCTCCATTTTGGCCAAATAACCTTTGTTCAACATAACTGAATCTATGGAATTTCCTGTACTTTTCCTAGTTACCTCTGTATTGATTTTTTCTGCTTAACTGATTACGCCATGCACCTGTTCCTTTAATGTTATGTAACAATCTGTATAAAAATAAAGCTTAATCAAACTCTGAGAGTTCGGTCAGACCCACAGAGGCTGGCTGTTCCCTGGCATCCAGTCAGGTGTCTGACTTTTCATTCGTTGCCTGTACTGTCCATCCTTCAGAAACCCTGACACCTGCCAAGGCTGGACCCCAGCTCATGGCACACATGGAGCTATCCGGTTCCTTCTTCACTCTGAAAATTTGTCTTAATGGCTTTCTGGTGTAGTGTCCTGTGTCCTCCATGATGAGCTTCTGAAATAGCAGGGGTCCTTTGGAGTACATTGTCTCTCAAAGGCTGTATACAAGCCCGGGTGTAATTCCTTATCTATTACACATGGTAAAAGAGAATGTTGTTATGCACACATTCCTTCTCTATCAGGCATAGTCGGCAGTTCTCAGGCAGACTGTAGACAAGGAGAACACACCTTCTTCTTCAGCAGCAATGGGTGGCTCTGACTCAACAGTGAGTTGGGCAGTGGGGGCAGGCTCCTGAAGGTTAAGAGTGAGACTAGGAGGGAAGAGAGACATTGATCAACATTTGGATCTATATACTGGATGGAGAGATGAGGTCCTTTATCCTGAGAAAAAATCTTCATCTCTCAGCCTTGTTCTGTGTGTGTGTGTGTGTGTGTGTGTGTGTGTGCATTCCATGGTCCAGGTCAGTAGTAGAGTTGCCATTCCTTCAGCACCTCTGAACCTCTTTCCTCTATTTCACAAATTCTTCCCCTGGTGTTTGTTTGACTCCCTGTTCAATGCCTTCAGACCTGACTCCCTCTGCAGTCAAGGGACTCAGTCCTGGCCAGTGCTGACATGAGCTTAGATCTGGGTCAGGGGTTCTGGGCCTGGTCAGGACCCTGTGTGAGAAGAGCAGGTGGTGCCAGGAGAGTGCACAGTGGGGAGTGGGGCTGCTCACAGCTGAGATGTGCAGGTGGGTGTGGTCAGTGTCCCTGTCCTGAAGAAGCTCATCCTTCACACCTGTGCACACCTGTCCTCCTGATTTCCTGAGGGTCCAGAACCCAGGTGCATGGGAGAACCCTCAGTGGTGACAGTGCCTATGTGTCTTCCAGTGTCCCGTCTGTCTGGTCTTCTGTTTTTTCTTCATCATGTGCTTCCCTGTGAGCACACCCTGAGCACTTCCTCTGTGTTATCACTGGGCTTGGCCTGGGGACTCCACAGAGACAGGCTTGATGTGATCCCTGTGTTGGAGCAGGGAGCTGGGCAATTAAATAGCAGCTGTAGGAGGGACTCATGAGTGATAATCATGAGGGAGAAAAAAGGGCAGCACCTAGTGTGGTGGGAGCATATGAAGAAGAGCTCTTCCGGGAACGTCCCCTCTGTGTTGTAGGTAAGACAGTGGCCTGACCCTCAGGGCAGGGAGATTCCCTGAGGCTGGAGCAGGGTCAGCCTCTGAGAGGTCACCCTCTGGGTGCCGCAGTCAGCCCTGTGTGGACGGTGCCAACACCTGATGTGCAGCCACGTGCAAGGGGGTCACGATTCACAAATTGGAGCAGAATCCGGTTTTCCCGATAAACATCTCGGTTGTTTTGTCTTTCTCTTGTGGAATAGGAACAAGTCCCTTCTCCTGGCATCCACCCTGCTGCAGCCTCAGGGACCAGCATCCCAAGATCCAGTCTATGGTGCTGACTACCAGCAACCAGGGCTTTTGTGCTGGGAGCTGGGAGCTGTGTCTGTCTTGTTCTCACTGTTTACAAGGAGCTTTACTAACAGGAGGAGGTGGAGGAGGCTGCTGGGCCTGTGTTTCCCTCCCTCGGAGGCAGGAGAGTGTTTTGGGTGTCACTGAATGAGCCGATCCCAGAGTCAGCAGGATCAAGTCCAGGCTGCCCACAGGCAGTTCACGGAGGAGGAAGATGATGGTCTTAGCCCAGAGAGGGGGGGTATGGAGAGAAAAAGGACCCCCAAAGTTCCCATCTTGTCCCTGGAATTTGTAAATATGTCTATTGATAAGGGGAACTTACAGATGAAAGATCATGTGATCAGGAATTTAAGGTGGTTCATCACTGGGCCCATTATGATCACAGGGGTCCTGTCCTTAAAAGAAACAGAGGGGGCAGGAGAGGCAGAGACCCAGAAGGAGATGTGGTGGTGGAAGCAGAGTTCAGGGGCCTCAAGATGCTGCATGCTGGCTCTGAAAATGGAGGTGGGGCCACAAGCCACACGTTGCAGTCAACTCTAACAGTTTGAAAAGGTGAGGACACCAGGAAGAACCTCCAGAAGGAACCAGCCATGTTAGGGTGGTGATTTGTACCATGTGACTCTGATAAGTGTGTGGTGATTGGCTGCAGCAGCTGTTTCAAACCTGCAAGAGGCGTTGCTTTGTTTAACCCAAGCTCATGTGCATTGGGACAGGGAGGGAGTCAGAGCTCAGTCATGATGTGAACCTGTGATGGTTTGTTACTCTGTCTCATCTCATGATAGATGATGCTTGGCCAACACAGAACATCCTCCCGAGCCTTGGTGTTGGACCAGTTTTGTTGTGTGATCGTGGGCACCCTGACCCTAGTGGACCTTCAGGGGAACAGCACCCATCTTGGGTCCTCATGGAAGGACTGAGAACTGCAGGCTCAGGTGTGCATAGGGGGCTGCAGGTAAAGTGGGTGTGGGAGGATCTGCACCAGGTGTAGGAGGAGTCACTTGGTGATGTCTCCATGGAAGCCTGGGTGAGAGTTTGTTGGTGGAACACCTGGATGCTCAGTTGTGGAAAGGATGCTGTGTCAGTGAGATCCAGGTGCAGCAGGAGAGTGGGGACTGATGGGAAGTGGGTTGAGGTCATAGAAAGGCCAAGGATGGGCTGCTCAGGGCAGGAATCCTGGGTCCTCCCAAACTTGGCTACTTTGACAGCCTCTGTCTGTGTCCCCCAGATGTGAAGATGACCTGAGGGCTAGTCTTTGGGTCAAAGCAGAAACTCAGTGACAGAGCCCAGCTCCCTGGTTCTTGTATTTGGTGTAGGTATGTTTCTTTGTGGAGGCCACCAGGGTCCAGGTAAGGAAGGAAGAAGGATAAATAACTTTAGGAGACTCAGAGGAGCCCCCCCCCCAATATGTGCCCTACCCATGGATATTGGCCATGACCCCAGAGAAGGATCCTTGCTCATCTTTTTGAGAACATGAGAGGATCCCTATTGGGTGCTCCTGAGACATGGGGCACATGTGCAAAGGGACAAACCCTGGGAGTGTCCATGGCCTGGTCCCTGGAACCATGTGAGGACAGCCCAGAGCTCTCCTGGTTAGTTGCAGTTCCTCTCATATCTGTATTTCCTCTATTTCACTTTTTATTGATTGATTTGAGAAGGAGTGAGAAAGAGAGAGGAAAGGAGGGAGGGAGGGAGAGAGAGAGAGAGTGTTCCACCCACCCATGCATTTATTGGCACATTCCTGCATGTGCCCTGACTGAAGATTGGACCTATAATCCTGGTACATTGGGACAGTAGCACACACAACTGAGCAACCTGGGCAGAGTCTGCCTTTCCTTTAGCACGCCCCCACCTCCACATTTCTGCCCTCATTTCTCTCCCAGGGAAGAAAATGGGGACTGGGGTAACTTAGAATTTTTTTTCTCAATGTGATTGAGGAAAGACAGGACCCAGAGTTTCAGGTGCATTTGTACTAGAAGGTCCCTCTAATAGAAAAACAGCAATCTAGGGGAAGGTCCCCTTTATTCAAATCACACAGGTGGTGAAAACCAGACCACAAGGTCTGCTGACCTCTCCAAGCCCAGGTCTCCTTCGCACACATCAGGGGTTGTGGTTCCCAACCTGGTCAATTGGGAGGGCCCAAGCCCACCCGGCCTATGCAGGCTCTGCCACCCTCAGCTTGTGTGACCTTGGCCAGGATGCCCTTCAGATCTTGGAGCAGCAGATCCCCCTCACAGGGTGGGTGGACTGAGACAAACAGCAGCAGGTGCCTCACTGAGCACTTACTCCTTGCCAGCCCCGTGCAGGTGTGAGGAGTGAACCGGGACCACCCTGAGGGGACAGTTCCTTAGTTGTGACTAATGTGTAGATGAGGAGGCTGTTGAGGACACTGCCCTGGTCAGCAGCTGGTGCAGGAGGAGCTGGAGGGAGTGAGTTAGGAACGTCCATGGGGAAGTTGGAAGGCCACAGAGAGCCAGCTCATCATCAGGGAGGGGTCTCCTTCTCCTGGCCATTGGTCAGATAGGGGTCAGCAGGGAGTCAGCCTGGGATGGGTAAGATTAGGGTGAAGGAAATGCCATTGTACCTCCCAGTCCTCCTGTGGTACAGGAAATACCACAGTGAGGTCCCCAGCACCACCAGGAGGAGGACCCCAATCATGATGCCAGCAATGGTCCCTGCAGAGGAGCCTGTGTAATTATTTTCTGCTGAAAGGAGAAGGGAAAAGGGGAGGGGAGAGGGTCCAAGTTCACTCAGGGGAAACAAGGGGGGGGCCTTGCAGCATGGAGGCCTGGTTAGGGTGGACGGAACTGTCACCATCTGTGTGCATTTGGGAGTGTTGTCATTGCACCATCCTTGTGACACCCTTCTGCCTGTGGTTGATTCCTGCCATTTCGATCACTGGAACCTTCCATTGGCTCTAACTGTGCACATTCTCTCACACCTGCCACTCCCGTGTCCTGTCCACTGTCCTCCTCACTCCTCTTCCCTGTCACCTTGTGTCTCTTCCCTCTGTTTCCTCTTCTCCAGCCCTAATGACACTCTCAGAGGGCAGGCACTGACCTGTCCACTCAGTGGTGATTCATGGTAAGGATGTGCCAACTGTGTTCAGTGGCCCAGGGAGGGTGGGAAACCCTGTATGTCATCTGATCCTCCCATCCCCTGGAGGGACAGGATGTCACCCCCATGGAGCACAGACACAATATGAGACTTGAGGTGCTTAAAAATCATTGGAGGTCACACATGTGGTGAGTGATGAACAACACTTTCGCTCAGTTCTTCTGGACTGACAGCTGATGATAATGTTCATAGAAATAATGACACTATCTGACATCCCTGAGAGAGTCCTGCCCCTGAGTGACCTGAAGGGCTTTAATCTCACTAAATCTCATAATGAACATCCTCACAACTGTTGCACAATCCAGCTGTTTATTCCAGTTTACAGTTGAGACAACCGAGGCTCAGTTAGGTGAGCAGCAGCTTGAGGTCAGCCAGCTTGTGCACATGGAATCGAGACTCGGACGAGACTAGTGTCATTCTGGGGCTTCCCCTGTTGCTCTGCAGACTCTCACTGGGCTCCCCATTCCTCAAGGCTTGTATCCACCTCATTCCCCTGCCTGTGAGATGAGTGGAGGAGCTGGTGGGAGAGGTCGAGGGTCACTTACTTTGCACATGCAGCCTGAGGGGGTCGCTTTTGCTGGCACTGACAGGGTTGGAGACCCCACACTGATAGCTCCCAGCATCCTCCCTCCTGAAGGGCTCTATGATCAGGGTGCTGTTTTCCCGGGACAGCTTTGTCCTTTCTGTGAGCAGGAGTCTCTGGTCCCTGAACAACCACCAGATGGAGATTCTGGTGTCATTTGTGAGGCAGGTCAGCACCATGGTGTCCTTCTGTTCTGTGATGGCGGTGTTCCTGGCTGGGATGAAGGGCTTCCCCACGGACTCTGTGGAGAAAGTAGAAGGTGACTGACTGAGAATAGGCTCCTTCCTCAGAGCCTCAGCCAATCACAGCCCCCACGGAGCTCTGATATGATCACCAGAGGATGGCCCTGACTTCTGAAGGAGGACCAGTGTCTTTGTTCAGGTGACAATATGTAAGGAGAGGTCTATGTCTCTCCCTGTGACTCCAGATCACCCCAGGATGACCTCTGGCCTGTCCCCCCTGCACACCTGTAGAAGCAGCACCAGGAACCTCTTCTGAGCCCAAGTGTCCAGCATCTTCAGACTCAGGTGGAATTTTTCACCCACTGGCTTTTCTGTGACTCTTTCCTGTAATTTTGTCTGACTTTCTATGTGATCAAACCCTGTCTCCATATAATGGCTTTACCTAGACAAGGGAAGGCTTTTCTTGTTTGTTATATAATTTATAGAACAATGTGAGCAGACAAGCCAGTCTTCCTGACCTAAGGGCCTCAATAAACTCCATTTCAAAGGCTTTCTCAGTGTGAATAGGACTCTCACTTTCTGGCCTGTGGAGTGAATATCACAGAGAAGAGAAACCTCTAGAGAGAAGCAGTCACAGGTTAGAAAAGGCTGGGACTCTCAGCCTCCTCTGGAGTCTATATTCTCTGTGGCACTGCCCCTTCTGTCCCATGAAGGGACTTCATGGGGGGTCTACCCATCTGTTAGCTAAGTACCATTGCTCACTGCTCCCCTCTGGAACATCACACACACTGGTGTTGCACAGTGTTACACAGCTGGTGGCCTCAGAGCCAGGACACAGTCCAGCAGTGGCTACACTGTGTCTGTTTCCAGCAGCCTGGCCTGAGGGAGGCTCTGGTGTTGGTGGGTGGAACAGTTTGATCAGATTGAGAACAGGGCACCTGCGCATCTCATCCACGGGCCCTGTCCTAGCACAGGGGACATAAGGGTCAGGCACCAGGTGAGCCTGGAGCAGAGCAGGGAGCAGGGGTCTGTCTTGCTCACCCACCTTGTGGGGGAGGGGTTCACCCTTTTGTTTGGTAAAAAGAGGTGAGCTTGACTCAAAGTCTTGTACATTCCTTGTAGGTCTTGGAGTGGGTCACAGAAAAGAAGGAGGTGACACAAGAAACATGTTAGTGACAGAAGAAGCAACTTGATTGTGTGCCCCCTTGTTTTACCCTCTCTGTGAAGCCCCATCCCCCATCTGGGGCTTTCTGAGTCTAAGAGAACCCACTTCCTCATTTCCAAGCTTGGGCCCCAGCTCTGCCCTGAGAAATCAGAGGAGCAAGGGGAGGAGAGAGACTACAGCGATGTGGGGGATGGTTCAGGGGAAGGGTTTGTGATTTGTGTGTCCATGGGCACAGGATGGAGACAGCATCCAAGCTTTTTTCTGAAAACCAGACCAACCTCCACCCCAGAGCTCGGTGCTGGTGGTCCAGGAGGCACTTACCAGACACTGTGATAGTCCTGACTGTGGTCCTACTGAGGCTAGTGACAGGGTTATGGGCGAGGCAGGTATAGGATTCATTATCACTCACAGTGATGTTGGCAACAAAGAGCTCCTGTGTGGCTTGCTGGGGTCTCCCCATTGATAAGCCAAAAATACTGTGCAGGTGGGTTAGAGGCCGTGTGGCAGGAGAGGTTGAGGTTTGCCCCTGGTGGGTAATGGGAGTCCGAGGGAAAAATGGAGGGGGCGCCTGGGCCATCTGGAGCAAACAGAGCAAAGCCACACATGATGTCATCAGAGGGAAGGGGAAGCTCCTGGCCTGTGTAAGGGCCACAGTGTCCCTCTGAGCCGGTCCCCAGCCTTGTTGTGAAAGGTGCCAACACAACCCCTGTTCAATGAGCTGCGTCTGAGGACATTAACCTGTTTTCCCACCACAGGGAATTGACTGTGAGCCTTTCAAGACGGGGGCCACCCATCCCATCCTAGTCTTGGCTCAAGGCTGCACTTGCCCAGGTTTGTCTGGCACAGGAAGTCATGGCCAGCCAGGTACCATGGTGAGGGTCAATGTACTCGGGCGGAGAGGGATGTAGTGTGGCCTCTGGTGTGTGGATTTGGGTGGCAGCCTGGACCACACAGGGGCAGAAGTTACTCACAGAGAACATTCGGAGTGAAGGGGTCACTGTGGCCAACACTCACTGGATTCCAGGTTTCACACTCTTAGGGTCCTGTGTCATTCTTTGTGACATGCAGCAAAGTGAGAGTCCTGTTGTCCTTGGACAGTTCCAGCCTGGCACTGTCCTGGAGGCTCTGACTGTTGATCAGCCACAGGTAGATGGTGTTCTCAGTGTGAGGTTCACATGTTAATAGGACAGAGTCCTTGTGCTTCTCCGGGTTGGAGTTGTTGCTTGTGATGTTGGGTCTGGGTAATTCCACTGTGCATGGAACAGAGAGAACATTGTCCTGGGGGGTACCCTGGGTTTCACCAAAGGCACCTTTAGTCTGGGATGGTACCTCTTGATAGGGGACTCAAGACTTGAAAAATTTTAGTTTAAGGTGAATAGTTAATAATCCTAGTAGGTAATTCATATATTAAAGCTATAATATCAGGAACTGCAGGTATGGCTCACCACTCAGGGAGGGACAGCCGACCTTCTGGGGCACCATTAGAGACCACTGCCTGGGACACAGCTGCAGACGTCTGGGCCACTGTGTTCCAGGGAGAGACAGATGCCCACCCAGGCACAGCTAATGGACCAGTGCAAGAATGCTGCAGTTTTTAATCCAATGTTCCCTTAATTTCAAGCCCCCTCACTGCACTTTGTTCTCTGTTAAAAAAAAGGCTGGCTTGGAAAGAAATGTAAGAGGGTCCGTTAGAGTGTGAACACACTGTCACCTCAGATTGCTGGTCCTCTGGATAAAGATTCAATCTGTGTCTCTGCTATTGGATTTGGTATGTGACAGACGGCACCGATGCCAGCTTTTCCTGTTGCATGTTCTGATGACTCTGTCTGGGATAGAGTTTGGGGCTCTCCAGCAAGTCTGGTGTTGGCAGGAAGTCCCGTTGGCTGCCTGGACTGGGAGCCCCAGAAGCTATGGATTTGGAGACACTTTTAGCAGCTGCCAAGTGATTTCACTTGGGAACCCTTCTCTTCCTCTCAGTCCCACATTTTTCATTGATTTTCATATTTGATTGAATCTTTGCACTTTCTGGTTGAGGTTACAATCCCTAGTCATGTCTTAGGTTGTCTGTAGTTAGGTACCATTTGGTTTACAGCACTCTATCTGGTAGAATGGGGGGAAAAGCTTCCGATCCAGAAAACAGCCCTTGGGGTAATTTGTGATAATTGCTCAAATTATTCTTATAAATGTATGACTAAAACAAAAGTGGTTTTTATTGTAATACTGGTCAACTTATGTATTGTATAATCTAGACTCAAGGGAGTGCTGGCTGCTGAATGGGTCTTTAAATTTCTGTATCAGCTCTGGCTGGTGTGTCTCAGTGGACTGACTGTGGGCTATGAACCAAAGGGTCCTGGTTGGATTCCCAGTCCGGGCATGTGCCTGGGTTGTGAGCCAGGTCCCCAGTGGGGGGAGCACATGAGAGGCAACCACACATTGATGTTTCTCTCCCTCTTTGTCTCCCTCCCTTCCCTCACTGTAAAAACAAATAAATAAATAATCTTAAAAGATTAAATTTCTGCATTATACTGTAACTAGAGTTGCTTTGTCAAAGATCAGGGAAGTGGGACAAAATACCTTACCTAGAAGCTTTTAAAAGTTTATATGATAAAGATGCAGAGTTAAAAGGAAACAAGTTAATGGTTCAGAAAGGAGACTGTGCATGTGAAGGGTAATAGAAGCTCAGAGGAGAGAGACCAGGAAGATTCCCAAGTCCCCACCAGGCCCAGGGGATCTTCCTCTGTATTCAGCTGAGGGAACTGGAGAAAGTGCCCCTGAACTGGCATCGCCCTCTAGAACCAGTCAGGGAACCAAATTCGGTGGAGGACAAGCCCCTAATGTGGGAGAAGCCCCTACTGGGTGAGTCTTGCTGTGGGAATAGGGCCAGAGGTCCAGCCTGCTGAATATTATTGGGAACATACTCCATTCGTACATCGGATCTGTCAAACTGGAAAAGCTCAAGCTGTTCTCATAGGGATGACCCTACTAAAATGACTGATTTGGTTGGATCAGGTTTTGCCACCCATCGTCCCAATTGGACAGACATATAAGCATTATTGAATTCTTTGCTTATGGGGGATGAGCAGAGGCTAGTGTTGGATAAGGCAAATGAAGAGGTTTGGAGGTTACCCCAAGAAAATCCAGATGGGGCTCTGGACCCTCCCAGGGCAATAGCTGTAACTGAACCCAATGGAGACCCTAATGGGGATGGCCTTCCTCCCCTAGAACATAAGAGATGCCTCCTTGAGGGAATGGGAAAGGCGCCCCTGAGCAGAAAAGTCTCAGTATGCTGCAGGCTGTGCAACAGAAGTCCACAGAGGACCCCTGCTCCGGCCCGCGGAGCAATCAACTGGGGCTCGACCACCTACCTAGAACAAATGAGTTGGGGGGACAAGAGGCGCGAAGAATGGCAGCAAGACAAAAGATTCTGATCAAGCTGCAAACTTTATTTTTCCGAACTGGGTATATATATAGGGGGGGAGGGAGAGGAAGGAGATTAGGTTGCTTGCTATTGGCTAGCTTGAGACAAAGAAGGGCCCGCTTATTGATTACTTGGGTGCAACTGGTACTCGTGGACACCTCATGTACCTGTAGCTGATTGGCTCGTGGAGCGCACAGGTTCCTGTAATCAATGCAATGTTTTTAGCTAGAAGCCAGGTGTAAGGTTCCCAACAGACCCCTCCCAAAAGCAGGAAACAGTTAAGGAGATTCCTGGGGATGGCAAGCGACTGTTGCATTTGGATTCCAAACTTTGGGCTTGTTGCTAAACCACTGTATGAGGCTCTGAAGGGACTGGAATATGGCCCTTTTGAGTGGACAAAGGAGTGGTCTTAGGCTTCTGAGTCCCTGAAGACACATCTTGAGCATCTGAACCTACTGAAGCCTTTTCAATTATATGTGGGGAGAGACAGGGCATTGCCCTATGTTTCCTCCCCCAAATGCTTAGTGACATTTCACAGACCATCACATACTTGTCAAAGAAAGTAGATCACACTGTCTGGGGGTTGCCAAGCCCACTTGACAACTGTGGTAGCCACCTGGGAACTGTTACAGGAAGCAGGAGAGTTTTCCTCGGGACAGCCTACCACCATTTAAGCACCTCACGAGTGTTGAGGTCGCTGGGGTAAAAGGGAAATTTGACGCTCACTGCTGGAAGAGAATGGGCAGGTACCAAACCATTCTTCTTGACAATTCCAATGTCTCCCTCAAAACTGTAATCAAGTTAAAACCTGCCTCTCTTCTCCTAGAGACTGACTTGGCTGAACTAATACATGACTGTGCTAAGATAACTGATGAAGTGTATTCTAGCAGAATGGATTTATAGGACCATCCTTTAGAAGAAGCAGACTGGACTCTCTATACAGATGGAAGCATTTATATGGACAAAGGAAGCAGAAAGGCTGGGTATGCAGTTGTGACTCTTGAAGGAGTGAGTAGTGGAGGGCAAGGCCTTGCCTTCGGGAACATCTGCTCAAAAAGCTGAACTGATCACACTGATGAGGGCACTGGAATTGGTGTGTGAAAAAAGAGTGAATGTCCCCAAGGCCCACCCCAGGGAGAACAGATGTCACTCACTAGGTGAAAGTGGGCAGGGCTGTGATGTTGGGGGAATGAATGGGCATCCAACCTACCCTGTTAGGAGACCCCTGTCCTCCCCCGGACTGTACGAAGGGAAAGGCCCAGCCCTGGGGCAGCCGTGGGCACTTGCTGGTTCCTTCCACGCTGACACCTGTGCCCCTGTATGTGTAAGAAGCATGATCGGACCCCCATGTGTGTCACAGGGGGTCAGAGGCTTCTACTGTGTGGTTTCCACCATCCATTTAAGGTCTACTTATCGAGTGTCTGTGAGGGCCACACAGGCAGAGCTGCATATCCAGCCTGGCTGCTGTCTCATCCTCCCAGACATTGTTGCTGGGGGAGGCTTCTGCTCAGAGTCCCTGCCTGGGCACCAGGACTGGACTCCTCATCTGTCACCAGGGGTTCATCTCAGATGCCAGCTCCCTGGCTCTGGCTCCTGCTCTCACTGTGGGTTCCTGGTCCACCTCAGAGTGCCTTTTGCCCTGCCTCTCTGACAATGGTTCGGGCACTCAAAGTGCACAGTGACCAAACCACATGCCACAGTCACTATCCTGGCATTGGAGACAAGAGCCAGGTGATGGAATTCATCAGGGCCACCTCTGGGACAGGCCTCCTGGTCTTTATAGCTTCCACTTGTGGGGACATGCAGGGCCTCTCGGCGGAAAGCAGGGCAGTTGTTTGAGGGGTCCAGGTGTGCCTGGGAGCTGCTCTGAGAGCCGAATGTGGCGTAGGTGCTTTCCTGTAGGGACTCGGCTTCCAGAGCTGCCCCCAACCCGCCCTGTCTGTGCACTGGCCAGATGGTCAGGACTGAGCCACAGAGGCTGTGCCAGACTGTTCCTGCCATGGGCAACCTGCCAATCAGTGTCCAAACTCCAGGACAGCAGGGCTCAGGGGCAGCATGCAGGCACTGCCCTCTGTCTTGAGGACCAGGAGGCTCAGGACTCAGCTAGTCCTGCTCCTGGGAGGTGATGCACTTGGGTTGAGAACTCTGGAGCCTGTCATCTGTGGTGTTTTTCACATTTAAATGGGAAAAGTCATAATTTCTACCAGGTCTCAAAGTTACAGATAGTCTATTGACAGAAGAACACACTTATATTATCATAAAATTGAAGCAATGCACTAGGATGGTCTTTTAAGGAAAACAAACAACCATTTAAAAATTGTCAGTAAATATGATCTGTGTTTTATTTTGGTAGTTCATCATTAATATCACTTCCTGTAGTTTAGCCCTTAGGAAATGGTGAAAGCCGCCCGTGACCCATGTTTTAGTTCAGGAATGAGGATTGCGTGTGGACTCCCCTATGATTTTAAACTTTTATACAGGTCAAATTCTTTGAACATTAATGTGACTTTAAAATATAGTTTACTGATTATGCTATTACAGTTGTCCCATTTCCCCCCATTATACCCCTCCACCCTGCATACCTCCTTTCATTTGCATTTCCCCCCTTTAGTTCATGTCATAGGCCATACATATAAGTTCTTTGGCTTCTATATTTCCTCTACTGTTCTTACCCTCCCCTGTCTATTTTCTACCTACCATTTATGCTTCTTATTCCCTGCACTTTCCCCCCCTCTGTCTTCCTCCCACTCCCCTGCTGATAACCTCCATGTGATCTAAATTTCTGTGATTCTGTTCCTGTCTACTTGTTTGCTTAGCTTTTTTTTTAGGTTCAGTTGTTCACAGTTGTGAGTTTGTTGTCATTCTACAGTTCATATTTTTGTTCTTTTTCTTAGATAAACCCCTTTAACAGTTTATATAATAAGGGCTTGTCGATGATGAACTCTTTTAACTTGACCTTATTTGGGAAGCACTTTATCTGCCCTTCCATTCTAAATGATAGCTTTGATGGACAGAGTAATCTTGGTTGTAGGTCCTTGCTTTTCATGAATTTCAATACCTTTTCCCAGCTCCTTCTTGCCTATAAAATTTCTTTTGAGAAATCAGCTGACAGTCTTATAGGAACTCCTTTGTAGGTAACTGTCTCCTATTCTCTTGCTGCTTTTCAGATTCTCTCCTTATCTGCCCTGGCTGGCGTAGCTCAGTGGATTGAGCACGGGCCTGCGAACCAGAGTATCGCGGTTCGATTCCTAGTCAGGGCACATGCCTGGGTTGCAGGCCAGTTCCCAGCAGGGGATGCATGAGAGGCAACCATACATTGATATTTCTCTCCCACTCTTTCTCCTTCCCTTCCCCTCTCTCAAAAAATAAACAAATAAAATATTTTTTAAAAAAAGATTCTCTCCTTATCTCTAATCCTGGTTAATGTAATTATCTTAATCTTTGGCATGTGCTTCCTTGGGTCCAACTTCTTTGGGACTCTCTGAACTCCCTGGACTTCCTGAAAGTCTATTTCCTTTGCCAGAATGGGGAAGTTCTCCTTCATTATGTTTTCAAATAGGTTTGCAATTTCTTGCCGTTCCTCTCGTTCTTCTGACTCCCCTATGATTTGCATGTTGGAATGCTTAATGTTGTCCTGGAGGTTCCTAACCTTCTCCTCATTTTCTTGCATTCTTGTTTCTTCATTCTGTTCTGGTTCAATGCTTATTTCTTCCTTTTGCTCCAAACTACTGATTTGAGTCCCAGCTCTCTATCCTTCACTGTTGGTTCCTTGTACATTTTCCTTTATGTCACTTTCTATAGCCTTCACTTTCCCCTCTATTTTGTGACCATACTCAACCATATCTGTGAGCTTCCTGATTACCAGTGTTTTGAACTCTGAACATGATAGGTTGGCTATTGCTTCATTGCTTAGTTGTATTTTTTCTGCAGCTTTGATTTTTTTTTGTGGGGGGGTGGGGGGGCTCAGGGTGCCTGTTACATAGTAAGAGGCGGAGCCTTAGGTGTTCACCAGAGCAGGGCAACCCAGGTATCTGTGTTGTGATGATGTCGGTGGGGGAGGGGTCTGAGAGGAAACAGTTCTGCTTGCTTAGCACTTGGCTTTCAATCACTTCCACTGCCCCCCACAAGCAAATTGGGTCCTCCTGGTGCTGAGTCCTAGGTGGGAGGATTTGTGTACATTCTAGGACCCTGTGAGTCTCTGCAACAAACTCTCCTGGGAGGTTGGGAGTTTGTCCCGCTGCTGCCTCAACCCTCACAGGTTTTTCCCGTCAGAGAACTTTAGGCTTTATTTCCCCACACTGGAACCCTGGGTTGTGTGGCCTGTCTCGCTCCTCAGTTTTTTCTCCCAATTTATCTGCACACAAATGAGGGACCATCTAGTCCTCCAGCTGCTGCCTTGCCATGAGTCCTCTCTGCCAGGCTGCCCATCTCCGCCCCTCCTACAGGTCTGGATGAATATTTCTTCTTTAACTCCTTGGTTGTCAGACTTCCATACAGTTCGATTTTCTTTCAGTTCTGGTTGTTTTTAACACTAATGCGATTTTTCCCTGTTCATTTCTGTCACTTATCCATGTACACAGAGAATCACATGTCCCCCAGAGTGGGGAAGGGCTTAATACCATGAAAAAAGGGAGGTGTCCAAACCCTGCTGGTAATGACAATGGCACTCAAGGTGTAAGTCTGTTGAAGGTGGGCAAAGACAACTGTGTTTTTGAGAACTGTTCTCTCAAAATCATGTGAAGAAGGCACCTCCTGTGCCTGCCACATGGTGGGGTGGATGAAAGGACGAATTAGAGGTCAGTAATTTAAATATCACATTCAAGAGTGGGCAACAGAATCTTCCAGAGTCTGGGAATTGAAGGATGACTGGTGAAGACACTACAAGGACACTCCTACAAGGACACTCCCAGTCCCCTAATGAGGGGGCATCACAGCTCCTGTGGTTCAGAGGGGCCAGTGGGGGAGGCAGGGTGCTGTCAGCCCACAAGTGTGGGAGTCAAACCCCACACAATCTAATTACCAAAAAGTTTACACTGGGGTGTTCCCATGTAAGGCATGTGGCCACTGCGAGTGATTCTGAGAATACAGAGAAGCTTCCGTAATTTAATGTCTACTTAGTGACATGTTTCTCCCAAATGACAGTAGGGACCCTGCACTCATTGTGTTCACTCTTGCTCACGCAGTGAGGACACCAGAGTAGACGGTGTAATGACGCTGCGTGTGCATCTGCCGTGTGTCTCCCCTTCCCCGTGTCTGCAGAATCCCCTCATCTGCCTGCAGCACAGCCCAGTGCTGTCGCTCTGACCTGAGGTCACACCTTTGATCACCCCAGTCCTGCAGCTGCTGAGCTACAGGCAGATGTCAGCTATCACCTCTAAATAAGCCAGCAACTGACAGATGAACTTCTGGTTGACAAGAGTTAATTTTTTTTTACATAGTGAAGAAGTCTGCTTCTCCCTTCTTCACTCACAGAGAGGTGCAGGGCATCCTTTGGTCAGTTGATGTTGGAGATGAGAGCAGGTCAGTGGTTCTCCCCCAGGGGCGATGGTCCCACCTGTTCTCCCCTTTCCCCAGGACACACAGTGATGTCAGAGGAAATGCCCTTCACACTCAGGGTGAGGGTGAGAGTTCCACTGGCATGTAGTGGGCAGAGGCCTTGGGAGGTGCTGATCATCCCACAGCACACAGCACAGCCCCAACCAGAGTCACCAGCCCCAAAGGTCCCTGTTGAGGAGAGGAAGAGCCCTGCTGGGTGTCCTGCCCGCAGCATTCCCAGGAGGCCTCTCTGGCCCTGTGGTTCTCACTTCTCCAGACCTTGCCCCCCCTCTAATCCCCATCGTCTTTCATCTTCATTGCTGTCCTTCTGACCCTGAATGTGCCCTTTGTCCAAGATCAGTCCGAACCTCTCAATAGTCCTCCTCTTTTACTCTTCTAGCAGAAATCATCTACATCCACTAGGGGGAGCTCACGCTCCATCTTGAATCCCTGAGGTCCTTTGCTATCACTTAAGACAAATGCAAATGTTTTACTACCACAGCCCTGAGCTCTCCGATGCTCTTTAGATTTTGTCAGGGCAGAGCTCCTGAGACACACCTCAGCGTATCCAAGAAGCACCTCACATTGGAGATCTGGCAACAAAGACTGGCCCCAAAATCAACTCTGGACCTGAGTGAGTAAGGGAAAGGGGGAAACAGTGCAGGCAGGAGACTCAGGGCCCTGATGCCCCCACCTTGTGTGTGGGCACCGGGGGAAGTGACAGTGAGTCCATGGCCATAAAGGATTGGGTCACCCCCTCACCTGTCCCTGTCCTCCCCACAGTAGAACACACAGCTGCTCCCTTCCCCAGGGACCTGGTGTTTCCCCCTCTGAAGAGGAGCCCCTCTGCCCCTCCCTGATCTGTCTCTAGATTAAGCAGCAGCTCTGAGTCAGTGCTGGCCAGCCAATAGGGAGCCCACAGTTTCCTTCTTTGCTCCAATCAGCTACAAGAACAGTGACCACAGCTGCTTTCTGTCTCTGGTGCACTCGGGAAACATGCTGTGAGTCACAAGCCTGAGGTGACCTCAGCGTCACTTCTAGAAAAGACCCAGCACTAGCTCCTCCCATCTTTGGTCTGAGTTCTGAGTCATGAGCCTGGTCCTCCAGTCCAGGGAGCTGCCCTCCCTGAGGCCCAGGTCTCCTCTGGACACTCTGATCCCAGGCAGGGCTTCTGTCACCAGGCTGACTGTGACTCTGACCCTGACCTTGAGCTGTCCCCATGGGTTAGTCTTGTAAGAGGTGGAGGCTCAGAGGCTTGGAGTCTGGGGGGTGAGCGCGGACAGCCACCCTCCCTCCTGACCAGCGTGACGGGTTAGGGAATCTCCAGGGCATCTGAGGGGGCTTCAGCTCCTGGGTGCCTCCTCAGGCCAAGAGGCTCCCCTCTTCTCCTCATTTGTCATCAGTGTCTGCCTTGTCCCAGTGCAAGTGGGTGTGGAGTGCCATCACAGGGCGTTTCGTTTCTCTTGTCATTATTGTACATTATTTTCTAATTAACCTGTAAATGTGGTAAAAGGGTCCAGTGGACTCACGACCGGTAAGACCATTTTGCATTGCTGGGCACCAAAGTCACCTTGGTAAATCCTGGTGGACCTTGGCAGTGTTTCCTTTAGGGATTTTTCAACTCTGTTCATGAGAAGGGCCTGCACTTTTGCTCCCTCATCTCTCCTGGTGTGGTGCCGACATGAAGGTTATGCTGCCCCATGAAAGGAGTTAAGGAGGGTTCTTTACTTTTCCTTTTCTCTGGGAAAGTCATCTTAGTTTGAAGCAAGCTCTCCTTTGATTGCAGGAAGGGGTATTTCTCCAGAGAGCAGTAGAGGGTCTGAGGCATGGGTCTCAGCTCCTGGAGGGACACAGATAGTGTCCTGTGTTGGCAGGGTTCTGAGGACTCTGCACTTAGTTACCTGTGTGTGAAGGGATTTCAGATCATTAGTTTCTTCCTTCATTCATCATTCACTCCTCTCTCTTCCATGAAAGAGCAAGTGAGTGCTGGTCCCTGAGCTGGTTGAAGGTGTGGAGTGAGGAGTGAGAGGCAAAGTCCTTCCCTTCATATCCAGTGGGAGTGACACCAACACATCAGGAAGCAAAGAAGGGATTGCAAGTCCAGGGCAGGGAGGTGTGGATGGGCCACCTGAGGGGGAGGCCTGGCCATCCCAGCACTGACTCTGATTGTTACTACTGGTACTTTTTGGTTCTGGAGTGAAAACAGATCAATTCTGCATTTCCTTTTACTCCCCAGGCCAGAATCTTTACCTCTGAGCTGAGGAAGCCTAAGAAGAAAAGATCTGAGCCAGTGGTTGATCTAGGGATCCACACACACCATGTAAGGCCCCTGGGATGCAGAAGGGAAGGGGCTGTGGCTGCACACAGACCCCCAGGGACTTCTCATGTTCTCTTGGGGCTAGATCTAAACTGGTCTCTTTGGGCTGAGTTTCTCCCATCAGACTGGCCCTTCTCTCTGCAGTGAATGCCTGCTTGGCAGGAATCTGGGAGGGGACTCTGATCTTAGTAAGTTTTTCTCTACTGTGTGTGTCCTGCACTAAATGTCCAAACCAAGTCCTGGATGTGATGCAGTGAGGGATGGCGGCTGAGTCCAGGGCTGTCAGTCCTGAGTGTGAGTAGAATTCACCCCACCCGACTCCCAGAGATCAGAGAGCAGTCACTCATAGTACACAGGAAGCTGTCTGGTTCCTTTTTATTCTGAAAATTTTTCTTTAAAAAGATTTATTTATTTGTTTGTTTATTTATTTATAGACCAAGGGGAAGGGAGGGAGAAAGAGAAGGGGAGAAACATGAATGTGTGGTTTCCTCTCATGTACCCCTACTGCAGACCTGGACTAGAGGGACCTGACCCCCTAGGCATGTGCCCTGACTGGGAATCAAACCAGCAACGTGTTGGTTCACCAGCCGGCACTCAATCCACTAAGCTGCACCAGCCAGGGATGAACATTTTTCTTTATGGCTCATAGAGCATAGTGTCCTGTGTCCTTCATGGTGACCTTCTGGAATAGTAGGGACCCACTGGAGTACGTTGTCTCTTAACCACTGTATGCAGTCCTGGGTTTAATTCCTTGTGTCTACTACACATGATAAAACAGAATGGTTGTCAGAAATACTTTCCCCCTGTACCAGGCAGAGTCTGCAATATTCTCAGGCAGACTGTGGAGAAGGAGAAGCACACCCTCCCCTTCGGCCACACTGGGCAGCACCGACTCAGTAGTGAGTTGGGCAGTGGTGGGCTGGCTCCCCAAGGTTAACAGTGAGACTGGGAGGGAAGAGAAATTTATCAATATTTGGGTCTGTGTATCAGGACTGAAAGGTGAGGCCCTGGGTCCTGAGCAAACCTTTCTTCCCAGAATGTTGATAAATAAATTGTGGACAGGGAATTTGTTGCACTGCCAATCACTTCATCACCAGGTCGAGTCCCTCTTCTTGTTCTGTCCTCTTTGTGTATAAACATTTTATTTCTTATTTTACTCTTTAAATATATTTTATTGATTATGCTATTACAGTTGTGCCATTCCCCCCCTCATTCCCCTCCACCCTACACACACCCCCTGAGCCATCCCCCCCTTTAGTTCATGTCCAGGTGTCACAAGTTCTTTAGCTTCTACATTTCCTTTACTATTCTTGCCTTCCCCCATCTATTTTCTACCTACCGTCTATGCTACTTATTCTCTGTACCTTCTCCCCCCTTCTCCTCCTCTCACTCCCCTGCTGCTAACCCTCCACGTGATCTTCATTTCTATGGCTCCGCTCCTGATGTAGCTGTCTGCTTAGTTTGCTTTTGTTTTAGGTGTGGTTGTTAATAACTGTGAGTTTGCTGTCTCCCTCAGGCTCTCCTGAATACTGCTTGTCCTCCCCAGTCCTTTCAGTGCTCTGAACCGTCCACCCCACCTGGACTGAGGCCTCAGCCTCATTCCTTCCCACACCTGCCCCTTCCCTTCCAGACCTTCTCCCACTGCCACCCCTCCCAGGACACACAGCCAGAGCCCAAGGGGGCAAAGTCTTGTGGAAAATTAAGCCAGAGAAGATTTCTCAGCAGAAGTGGCTATTTTGGTGAGTATGGAAACAGTAGGTGTCCACAGTGAACTGCTGTGGTTCACTCTTACCTTCACAGGACCTACTGTGGACAGGACCTGGGTCCAGACATGGGGCACAGGAGCCTGAGGGAGACCTGCATGTGCACAATGGACCCAGGAGCTCTGAAACTCTGGGGGGCCTGGGGAGCACAGACCTCACATGAAACCCTCTGAACATGAGTGCTCCAGGCCCCCCACTTCAATGAGCCTGGTCATTCTTCCCCCTTTGCCCTTCAGGCAGTATATTTTCTCCTCGGAGCCCAAGCCATTGGAACGCACCTTCCATGCACTCAGACCATTGTGGGACTTGGCACTACAGGGCACTCACTGGATTCCCTGGAGACAGGGCTTCAGACATCTTTGCAAGCTCATCCCCACAACCCTGTCCAGACACCCCTCTTTCCTCAGGTAGAGAGAACCCTGATATTTGAAAATTCTTTCAGAATAAAAATACATGTGTCTTTCCTGTTCTCTTAGATACAGTTTCAAAAAGGTTTTGTTGGTATTTTTACCTGCATTCAAAAGCTTTAAAGATTTCTGAATCTCAATCCTTTCTAGGGTATTTGTCCCATGGGGTTGAAAAAAGTTTCTAGCAAGAAACCCATGTCTTCCGCGTGCTGTGGAATGCAGGAAAAGGTTCTCATGTCCTTCTGGAGAAAGGTTTTGGAAGAGATTCTACTTCTAGGGTGTATTGGGTGCAAATGTAGGGTTATTTTAAATTCTCCTGAGGAAAAATATTGCACTGATAATGAAGTAGCATTTCGTGTGCACTCATGGGGCCCCTGTGGTTGAAATTCTCTGATGTGCCTTCTGTAACAATGGGGACACTCTGTCCCAAGCCTTCAGCACTCGATCAGTGGCTGGAAATCAGCGTGGAAACAGGCATGTCGTCCAATCCACAGAGCCTCCTCCACTTCTGCCCTTTGTTCAATGACACCTACAGCGGAAAATGCAATGAAGGACACCACCTCTCAGATTGGAGAGGAAGAGAGACACAGGAAGTGAGAGAGAGAGAGACAGAGAGAGAGAGCAAGCTCACAAAGGACAGGAGAGAGAGGTTCCCACTTCCCTTTTCCCTCACTGTCCCAAAACCAAGTGTAGGAGGGTGCCCTGACTTTAGGTGCCAGGTCTCTGGATATGGCTCTGTTTTGGTTTCCTGACACTCATGTTTCTTACGAGCTTCCAGTTTAGGTCTTGTTGAAGATGGATGGTTTTGCCTTTGCTCTTAGTTCCACAAGAATGGATGTCCTTCATGTATTTTCGGCAGAATTGCCCCAGAAAAGATTCTGTGTTCTCTGTGTGTCCTGAAGAGAGACATGACATGTACTGCTTTCTTTCTCATTTGGTTGTGGTGGTATCTGCCAGGTCTGAGCCCCACACTTGCCATTTGCCCGTATTTTGTCAAGATGGCTTCAGGATGGAAGGAGGCACTGCTCTGCGTTTCCAGGTGGTGGTGGGGGGCAGAGACAGTGCTGTGTGATATTCGGTTTCTCCTCAGATGCTCAGCCTCTAGGGTAGGAGCCCAGGACGTTCTCAGGAGTCCTGTGGTGGCTGTCAGAGGGAGAGGCCCCAGACTCATCCTTGCTCTCATCCTTACCAGTTTCCCACAGGGCCCCACATGCTCTTCAGTCTGCCCACATCTGTCCTGTACAGGCTGGTTGGCGGACAAAGCAGATGGACACCCCTTCTTGTGGTCTAGGAGGTATGTGGACCACTCTGTTCTCACTGCTCTGCACGTTTTTGCTCCATGTCAAGTAGCCCCGAGGGTGACAAAGGAGGAACAGGCCCCCAGCCGCGCTGGTGAAGGGTACCAAGTGTTGTGCCAGCTGACTCCCCCTTCCTTCTAGAAAACTTTTAGGAAACTATAGTGTGTCAAGTGCCTCACCTGCACATCTATTTCTTTTACGGAGAGAGAAACCCACTTCTGTTCTGCTTCCAGCTTGATTGACACCCTTCTCCCTGCTGGTCTGACTCTCACACACCAAGCCAGATTGCCTCCTGCCTGAGCACTTGGTCCCTGTGTCAGGCCCTGGGCCACTGGAGGTCAGTCCTCCAGCCCCACACCCTCCCTCCAGGGTTAGTCTGGCTACACAGAAGCAGTCCGGTTGGTGCTTTCCAGGCACTGGGGGCTTCTCACCTGGGACTACTGGAAAGAACCAGGGTTTACCTGAGCCATGGTCTTCTATATCTTTTTCTGAGATACAGCACCTCAGGCTTTTCCTGAGATGCAAGGGGGGAAGAAAGGACTGCATGCATTAGTGGTTATTCTAAGGAATTTTGGGACCTCAATGAAGACATTAAGTCATTACTCTTAAGTCTGTATAACTTTGGAAATAAATAATTACTTTTCTTTTCACCAATCTCTGGCATTGAGAGCTATAATTCCCTGATGGCAGGCAAGGCAAACCTGGTGCAGGGGCACACCTGGAGAAGGGGAAATGCATTCAGTAATAGTATATTGTGCCCCCCTCCACGGGTCCTTCTATTACAGTTTCTGGGGATCATGCAGGGGCCCTAATTGCCTGTGGCAGACTGACCCTCTCAGGTGTAGGAGAATGAGACTTCAGGATTTTTCCAAACTCTGGGAATTTTCTGCACTCCTCCTGAGGGCATTGGCTGCCTAATCACATCTGGAACGGTGAAATAGAAAGAGAACAGGGAAGGAAGCAGAGAAGTGAAATTGTTTGGGTTGAAAATACTATCTTGGAATAATGGAGTTGGAGTTGTGGACAACAGCTGGGGAAACACCCAGATTTTATGCATCTGTATTTTTCTTGGCTATGAGTTTTTGTGTGCCCTGCTGGGACAGTATAAGTAGTTCTGAGCTGGTCCCTGAGTGGAGCCCACTGGGTAGAATTCTGGGGGACTGGGAGACTTAACAGCTCTAAGTCTACGTACAAGAATCCCTTGTGTAAGCAGTTATTGTTTTATTATTGTAACCCAGTGTGGCCCACTTATATTTTGAGTGACGAGAAGAGGTGGCCTGTGAATGGTTTTGCAGTTACTGCACCATTACGGGATTGAATCAGCATTGCTGACAGTGAGAACTCTGGGAAGAACTCCAGTATCTTAATGCATCTACAATATTGCACAAGAGCCTTTTGTGAGAGACAGAGAAGGGAGTGATGGCACAGAAGGAAAAGGTGGTCTGGAAACTCCTCCCTGATAGTAGAACACAGGAGGAGATGGATAATGAGGAGATGAACCACATTAATGCCCTGAACCCAGGGAATAGACCCTCCCAAGTGTGCAGGGTCTCTATGGCCCCACCATCCCTGCTAGCCCAAGCAGTCCCTGCCCCTTCATCCCCTGTACAGGTGGTAGAGGTCTTGCACCTCTGACCTCACAGCAGCAGGAGGCTACTACAACCCATGGTACCTTCCCCTCCACAGCCCATGGGGGCTGCCTTGGCGCTGCTGCCCTCCCAGGTGGGAGGAGCCTCCACAGAGCCACTGCCTTCCCAGGTGCTGGGGACCCTCAAGGCCCCACTCCCTCTAGAGGTGGTAGGAATCTCCACCACAGTGCCTCTCCCTCTGAGGGTGGGGGGCCTCCATGGGGCTGCAGTTCTCACAGGTGGTGGAGTTTTCTACACCTCTGGCCTCACAGGTGGTGGAGCCTGCCACTTCCTAGGTTACTCCTTCTCCAGAGATGGTGGGGGCTTCCTAGGCACCACTCCCTCTGCTGGAGGGAGGAATCTCTACTACAGTACCTCCCCTTCAAAGGCACTAGGAGCCTCCTCAGTACCCTCTCCTCCAGTAACTGCCCCTGTAGTGGGGACTGCAAAGCCAACTGGTCCACTTCTACCTGCTGAGGAATGTGTCTCATCTCTCTGAGCCCCCCCACCCTGCAACTCACCAGGACACTACCTATGACCAGGGGGCCTCCAAAGGTGTAGCCAGCCAATGCCCTTTGAAATAATATCCTATAAGTAGAGCAAATAAAGAAGGCCAGCTCACTGGGTACTATTGGGCCCATACTCCATTCTTTACTTCCGACTTACTGAATTGGAGGATTCCCAACCCATCACACAGGGATGATCCTCAGAAAGTGACAGATGTCTCCTCCACTTTTTTCACTCACCATCCAAAATGGGCAGATGTGCAGGCCTTCTGAGCATCTTACTAACAGCAGATGAGAGATGGTTGGTTCTAAGTAGGGCTGATCAGCGTCTAAGGAGGCCCAGCGTCTTCACAAAGAGGATTGCCAGGTGACCCTTGACACAGTTGGGGCAATTCCTCAGGTGGACACTAACTGGACCCAGATAGTGCAGGTTGCCTAGCCTCTTTGAAACATTGCAGAAGGTGCACATTGGAAAGGCTTAGGATAGGAGTGCACAAGCAGAGGAGCCTGGATTTGATACAGGCTCTTCAGCAGAATCCAGATGAGGAACCTTCTCAATTTCTAGAGAGGGTCTATCAGGTGTATGGGACATACACTGATGCTGACCCAGAGGCACCAGAGAATGTGAGAATAATAAACATGACTTGAATGGACAGAGTGCCCCAGATATCAGGAACAAACTTAAGCATGTAGACGGGATACTGGGGATGAGCCCCTCCCAGCTGGTGGGCATAGCATTTGCAGCCTACAATGCCTAGGAAGCAGAAAAGGCAAAATGGGCCACGGTATTTTGGGAAACAGCCCAGGAAAACCAAAAGAAGCAGGACCCTAGTGCAGAGAAAGAATCTCAATAGGTTCCTGCTACCATGCCTGTGGCAAGAGGACCCGGTCCTTAAGGAGAAGAGGAAAGGAGCAATAGGCATTAATCGATGTGTGTTTGCAAGGAGGAGGGACACTGTGGGAATGAGTGCCTAAATGGCAAAGGGAAAGTAAGCAAGAGTTAGAATCCAGAGGGAGTGATGATAAAGCAGATGACGGAGGCTGATGATGAATGAGGAGGCCCAGGGTCTCCACTGGCCATCTCCTGACCTATTATGATTTACCCACAGGAG